CCCTCCCCTCCCCTCCCTCCCCTCCCCTCCCCTCCCCTCCCCTCCCCCTCCCCTCCCCTCCCCTCCCCTCCCCTCCCCTCCCCTCCTCCCTCCCTCCCTCCCTCCCTCCTCCTTTTCATCATCTCTCACGTAGGTCGACGTGACTCCTCCAACTTGGTTGACACAGGCGGCGCATCCTGACGCGACAAGTTCGCGCGCGAGGTTCGTCGCCACCTCCTCGTTTGGCGCTGTCACGAAGCAGACGAAGGATCGCCTTCCTGCAGCCGCATCGCCATGCTCCTCACCGCTCCTCACCGCTGGGCATTGTGAACGCCGCTGGAGGCTGCGTGAGGACGAAGTTGCAAGAGGGAGGGCGGACAAAGAGGATGCAGATCGAGAGGCGATGAAGAGAAGATGCAGGAGGAGGGAGGAAAAAGGAAAGGAGGAGAAGGAGAGGGAGGGAGAAGGAGGGGGTAAGGACCTGGCGGCCTCTCCAGGCGGACACCGCATGGATGAAGGCGAGTTGTCCCACGTGTCCGCCATGCTGCATTGCTGAGGTAACAGCTCGAGCTAGTTCACTTCCTACTCCCTGCCCAATGCCTGACCGGATCCCGTCCATCGTCCCCGCCAGCCCGTACTCCACAGCATGCACGTGCAGCGGCTTATCCTCGGCCTGCTGCTGCTGCTGCTGCTGCTGCTGCTGCTGCTGCTGTATTAACATTTCCTGCTGCTGCTGCTGCTGCTGCTGGTTCCACCAACCAAAGAAGCCTCCGCGAAGTCGTAAGGGTGAAGGAAAGGGTTGAAGAGTCTGAATTAGGACTTGATTCAGTGCAATCCTTTCAGTTCCTTCCTCCCCTCTCAACCCTTTTTCCTCCCTACGTTTGACGCTCCTAACTCATTCCCCTTGACTGTTCTCTGAAAGGCTCTCTCCTCTTCTCTTACCCTCTATCCTACTCCCATGCCACCTCCATCTCACCTCCTTGCTTCACGTCTCCTCTCTTCACGCTCATCCACATCTTTCATCATCCTCCATCACATATGGTTTTAAGTTTGACCTTGGTGACTCCCTGTCTGTGCTTGTCCTCCTCTCGTGCAATATCTGATTGCTCCCCTTCCTGGACTAGACTTCTATACCATCGTTCATCGCTTCTTCTCTTGTCTCCTCCTCTCCTCCTCTCTCCTTGCATCGTCTCACCACGTGTCTTCTTCCGTCTCCCCATCCTTCGCTTCTCATCCCCATCGCCATCGTCGCCATCGTCATCAGCCATAGCAGCTTCGCCATCCTCGGCCTCCGCCCCAAACCACCCCCACCCCGTCAAACATCCCATTAACACTGGTATCAACACCCCTGTCTGTTTCATCACCCCTACCCCCTATACTTGAGTAGAATACCCACCCAGTATGAACTTCACCATCCCTACCGGTCATTCACCCCTGCGATCTACTGTCAAAGAGAGGTTGAGGTGGGGTAGGGTACACCAACACCCTGCGCATGGTCACACAAGTTTCTATTTGTTTCACTAGGTTTAACAAGCAGACTTGACAGTCCGTCCGCTGCTGCTTATGCGAGTGCAAAGCCACGAGCTCGGCGAGTAAGCGCGAACAGCGCAAGAAGACGAAACCCAAGGAAGATGGCAAGGAGGATAATGACGTACACGTACCAGATCTTGGGATCGGCAGCGCTCGTAGAAATGAGGAAGTCGCAGGCAACCGTCTGATCAGGAGGGCACGAGCGATGAAACTCGTTGAGGATGATGAGGTTGACGCCGAACTTGAGCGAGCAGAGGTACTGAGCCCAGCGGATCCACACAGGGATGAGTTCGATCTTGATGAAGAAGCCCGCAAACAAGATCTGTGGTACGAAAATAGCTGGAAGCGCTTCCGTGGCGACCTTGACGTTGGATGCGATGCTGCCGGCAAAGAGAGCTGTCGATGAGGCTGCGATGCTGACGAGCCAGACAATGAGCACGTGCAAGATGAAATTTCCCTTGAGAGCTTCAGTCCAGTAGGTGACAAGGAAGACCACCAGAGCCACTAAGAAGGTGAGCGGCAGCTCCGTAAAGAGCTTCGACCAGAAGTAAGGCACTGCCCCGTAAGTGCCTGTCGCGTACTCACGGACAAACCGAGGGCGCTCAGCAGGGAAGGTCAGGATGACGGGCTGAGCTGCTCCGAACATGGCGCTGATGGCGAGGAACACCAAGGCACCGAAGTGAGACTGGATATCACCACCATTGCCAACCTTGTAAAAGATGAGAGCGAAGATGAGGTTGAGCCCAATCGCCGATCCGAACCTCGCGATCAGCGCTCCCTTGTTCCTGGTAACCGTCTGTACCTCCCGCATTCCAAGCACCATGAACTGAGTGAACCAGCCAGCCTGTACTCGCTTGAGCTTGCGAGGAATGTCTCCTCCATCCAACGCACACGCAGTGTGAGGGTCGAACTTGTCGTTGGCCGCTGCGTAGGCCATGCAGAGGTCCTTGAGCAGCGACTTGTCCAGGGTCTGCATCAGGAACATGACGTGATCGGCAGGGTTCGTCTCCTCCGGTACAGGATACCCGATCCTCATGAAGTGATCACAGAGCTGATCAACTCTCCCATCGTAGAGGGTCCTTCCTTCTGCCAGCAGGATCGTCCGATCGAAGAGGTGAAAGACTTCAGATGAGGGCTGATGGATAGTGCACAGCACAGTACACCCAAGGCCAGCCAGATCCTTCAGAGCCTGGATGACGTTGTATGCCGCGAAAGAGTCAAGTCCTGACGTTGGTTCATCAAGAAAGAGAATTGAAGGCGAGGTGATTAGTTCCACACCGATGCTTGTTCGCCTGCGACATTCAGTCAGGTATTCCTTCCAGGCAGCAGACAGATTCATTCACCTCTTCTCTCCACCTGAGATGCCCTTGATCATCTCGTCACCGATGAGGGTGTCCGCACATCTGTCAAGGTGGAGGATCGTGATCACGTCGTTGACCATCCTCGTCCTCTCTGCATCGGTCACGGAAGGGGGAAGCCTCAACTTCGCGCTGAACTCCAGGGCCTCGCGCGGTGTTGATGTTGGGCACAAGGTGTCTTCCTGCATGACGTACGCAATCTGTGGTCCGAGCTCCTCACCACTAGTGGGGTGACCGTTGACTGTGAACTTGGAGGTCACCACATGCCCGTTCATCGACACTACCCGTCCGCTGAGCACATTCAGCAGCGACGTCTTGCCACTCCCACTCGCTCCCATGATGGCGACGATCTCACCGGGCTTGGCGTATCCCTTCAAGGACTTAAGGACCTGCGGGTCTTTATTCCCTCTGATCACTTTCGGGGAGAGAGTGAAGCCAACGTCCGACCAGGCAAAGTGCGCAGGGTGTCCTACGCGCAGGGAGCTTCCTTTCAGCGACCTGCTCTGACTCACGTTGGACTGTCCCCCCATCAAGAGCGAGGACACGTTGCTGCCTGCATTCATGCTCTTCACTGCATGCGCATCATTCAGGTGCGCATGGTCGGACAGAGCAAACTGCTCGTGCGAGGGGTAAACCAGTTCCCCGGTTTGCGTTGCCATATCTCAAACCAGATTTCCTTGTTGCTTGGAGGGGTTGAAGTTCCCTGAGCTTCCAGGTCGTCGGGATGAGAGGAGACGGGAGAGGAGGAGGAGGAGGAGGAGGAGGAGGAGGAGGAGGAGGACGAGGAGGCAACCGCAGCAGGGACGCGAGAAACGCGAGAGCGCGGGGAAGCAGGAGCAAGCGAGCGGCGAGACAAAGTCCCCGAAGAGATGCTTAAGAGTACACAGCTTCAAATCTGGGGGTGGGGTCATGAAATTAACCCCCCTTTTTATACAGACAAACATCTGGACATAGGTGGTAGGGGTCAATTTTGGAGGGGGTAGGCATAATTCGCATCACGAGGACGTTTAAAACTTGATAATAGAGAGATGACCACCACCCCACCCTACGTTTCCCTCTACCCTAACCAGACTACCCCTCAGATAAGATTTTTGTACCCCTATCTACCGTAGAGCTCCCATGGACAGTGCTAATTTCAAATGGAGACGGAGGGGTAGGGTGATAAGAGTACCCGTTGGGCTGTTTTTTAAAGAAATGGCACCACCCCTACTGGAAAATTCTTCAAGTACCCCACCTTAAAATGGCTTTGCACTCGCTACCCCCAACACTGGTACCACCCCCACAGATTGACCCACCCATCTCAACTACCCCTAACCCCCTCAGCATGTACCCCTACCCTCCTATCAGAAGTGCCGCAACCTTCGTCTCTCAGAGGCTCATAACCGACCACCACAGACGCAGCCTGTCCGGTGAGACTCAACGTGACTCACTTCAAGGCGAAGTTAGGTAGTCTGAGCCGCTGAGGGCCCGGCCGGTGCGGCCCGGCCGCGGCGCACCGTGGCATCGTGGGGGGCCGGCCTGACTGACGGTCACCCCTGACCTGACACCGTGTGTACGGTCGGACTGAACTGTGCGCGGCCGCGTCTGACTCCGAGGCTCGCGTTTCTGAGACTGACGAACTTCGCGCGGCCGCCGGACCAGGGCCCGGGACGAGCAGGATCATCGTTACGGTGGCACGTCACCGGAGTCTTCCGACTCGGCGGCTTTCTAGTGCCGGGACTCCCCGGAGCGGCTCAGGAGGCAATCGGAGTCATCGAGCGACAGTGCTGTCTGTTCTGTCAAAGTGCTTGTTTATTAATTGGCAGAAGGCATGCGAGGAGTGATTGCAGGAGCAATTTCCGAGAGAGGAACGTTCAAAGGCGTTCCTTTCGCTGCAAAGTCTGCACCTCGCTCGTTCTCCAGCTTCGTGAACGCACTTCCTTGGAAGGCTCCAAGTGTCAAAGCAAGAGTCTGCGGTGTCTGCTCAGGGCCTCGCAGCACCTTCACAGAAACCTTGTTTCCTGGCTTGTACTTGGCCAGGACAGCGCTGAGATCCAAAGGATCTTTGATCTCGTACTTGTCGATTCCGACAATCACGTCGCCGAGCTCGGGCTTGCTCTTGGGGTCTTTCGATCGCTTGACTGCAATCATGCCAGCAGCGGCTGCTGGAGAGTTGGGAGGGACCTCCAGCACAACGATTCCTTTCTCAATGCGAGGGATGCCGCTCCGCTCTGACTCTGATGCCGTTGGTACGCGCTCGAGGTAGGAGATGCCGAGGATTGCACGTTGCACTTGTCCAAACTCGATGAGCTGCTCAATCGTGGGAACGGCCAAGTCGATGGGAACTGCGAACCCGACCCCAGCTGAGACCCCAGCTCCAAGACTCGCCGTGTTGATGCCGATGAGCTGACCCTGGCTGTTGAGGAGAGGGCCTCCAGAGTTTCCAGGGTTGATGGCAGCGTCTGTCTGGATCACACCCTTGATCTTTCGTCCTGTAGGCGCAGTGATCTCCCTATTCTTCCCTGAGATGATGCCTGACGTGAGCGTGTGGTCTTGTCCGAACGGATTTCCGATGGCGAAGGAAAACTGCCCAACTCTGATCTTGGAGCTGTCGCCCACAGGCAGCTTCTTCAACAAGGAAGCCGGTGCGTCGATCTTCAAGACAGCGATGTCTTTGTCTGGGTCCACCCCAGTGAGCTTGGCCTTGTACTTCTCCGTCGTGCCGTCGGTTTTTGTCAGGACGACCATCGCGCTATCGACCTGATGAGAGTGAGGGAACGGGCCATGTCGCAGGAGACGCTCACCTTGTTGATCACGTGGAAGTTGGTGACGATGTGACCTTTATCGTCCCAAACGAAACCAGAGCCAACCCCCTTGGGGAGCGAGTTGCTGTCCAGATTGAGCTGCTGCGCCATGGACGTGTATTCCGTACTGATGAAGCAAACAGATGGAACCGACTGCTCGAAGATTTCCGCCTGGAGAGAAACAGAGAAAGCGCATGGTCAGATTGTGATGGAATGTTCCTTATCATAACTACCTGCAGTTCCTCAAGCTCCCGCAATTTTGCAAAATCGCTGATCACAGCTTCTGCAGGTGGGGGCTGGTAACCCTGTAGTAACGCTGATGCGACACCAACAGTCATCCAACCAAGAACATCCCTCCTTCCAGCTTTCGAAGCGGGATCGTCGTGCCGAGCAAACAGTCTCAGAGGCATCCCACGGCCCGCAGCTCTCGATCGAGGAGCAAACTCTCTCGTGAACATGGGCGGTGCGAAACAGGTGCACGATGCGACGAACGCGAGGGCGAGGCATCTACGAAGCATGGCAGATGAATGGAAGCTGAGTTGGAGGAGCACAGAAGGAGAAGAGAGGTAGCAAGACAAGGGTCCTGAACAAGGGAGGAAGGAGAGCCGGTCCAAGTCGGAGCTTCTACGAAAACTGGATCTTGGGGAACTACTGGGGAGGGGGTGGGGGTGACATTGATCCCAAATTTCACGGGTAGGTACCACCAAGTACGGGTCATTTCACCAGGCAGCTGATGGGATACCCAAGGATGAATTCAATATCTATATTGGTGGGGTGATCATCATAGGGGTAGGGGTTCTCCCCAGGGGGTATCTCAGGATGAGTCGCGGCGCCTTATGTATGGGGATGTGGTCCGTGATGTGTTATAAGAATCATCTTATAATGCATTATGGAAATGGGAAATTATAGAAAATTACACGATAATTATACTTGTTATGTATCATAAAAATACATAACATAAACATATTATCATAAATTCATAATTGCTTTATGCCTCCTAGTTGCAGGGCTGCTCATGTTGTACCCCCTTATCCACTGGTTTTGATACCTACCCCTACCCCCTAGAGTCCATGTTACGGACTAGAGAAGTGGGGGGTCTGCGTTTCAAGTTCCACCTCTTGTTGCAGCCGCACTGCGGCATCCCGGCGACTGAGGGGCCAGCGGCCGCGACTCAGCCTGCCACGCTCGGAGGGCGGCCTGTACCCGGCCGGGGCGCCGTACGGGTACCGGGCGACGGTCCGACGGTCTCGGAGGCCAACACGGTACCGGGTCAGCGCCGGGAGTCCCGGCATAGGCTTCGGTGGCCACTGCGGCAACTTCAAGCCGCGCCGGGCTCCCGAACTTCGGAACCGTTAAACGCCGCCAGTCGCGGCGCGGCGGCCCCGCGGTGACCGTGCCGTGGTTCGGACAGCCTCCGTGACACGCCCCGCCGCAGTGTCCGGCCCGGGCGCGGCTCCGAGAACTTCGGAACTTGACTTGAATCGGGCCTCTGACAGCCCGGCGGCCGGGCTGGCCCCCCGGATCACTTATGAGACGCCGCGGCGACCACCGTACGCCCGGCGGCGCCGTGCCACCGTGGACACTGCCGTCAGCCTCACGCGGCACTGATGAACTTCGGCGGCGTCGGATTTCAGGCTTGCCCCGGCCCTGGGGGCCCGAGCCTTTCTTTCACTCAGGCTGGCAGGCCCTGCTGGCCTGGCCGGGCGTCCGGGCCCGGCCGGGGAGGGACCCGACCGTCACTGACCGGGCCCGGCGCGAGTCGGGCGGCAATGACTACTCCGAGCAGTGAAAGAACCCGGCCGGATGTCACATGATGGGTTTCAAAGTTCGCGGGAAAGGAGATCAGAAAATTGAAACTGAGGGGAAGGGGAGGGAGGGGAGGGGGAGGACGGGGAGTGATCGAAGGGAGGTTGCCTAAAAAGAAGTAGGAAGTAGTAGGCAGATGGAGCGAAAGGCTGTTAGACATTGAGATAGAGGGGCGAGAGGTACGTCAGAGGACAAGCCTTCAGAGAAAGTCTGTAAAATGTTGAAGAGAGATGACTGACTAGAGAAGATTGTGATTAGGCAGTGTCCGATGTTTGTTGACATCATGGGATCTTTGTTGACATCATGTTATTCAAACACACCACAGTCCTCTAGACTGACGGAGGGATCGAGCAGGTCTCGATGCAGCGAGGGATGTGCTTCCAGTACTGGCGGAACGGGATCTGCAGCTTCAAAGAGAAATGCACATACCGCCACGTGTACCATGCCAAGGCGAGTGAAGGAGGGACGGAAGAGCAAGGTGCGAAGCCTGCGGTGGATGAGATGGAAGTGGAGGATTCAGAGAAAAGTATCAGCGATGGGCTGGCGGGTTGTCGAACGTCAAAGACACAGAGGGAAGAGAGCGAGCAGAACAAGAAGGAAGTGGGAGGGACTGCGAGGGCACAACGTGTGTCTGATGCGTCTGAAATCAAGAGCTTCTCCCCTCGCGAGGCAGGAGCTGCAGGAAGGAATGGGAACATCATAGAAGCATCAGGGACATCAGGCCGAGGGCTGGCAGGAGAACAAGACCCATCAGTTGCTGTGGGTGAGCAGGTAGCGATACAACGTAGCAGTGCAGACATGATGGAAGATGAGGATGAACTCTTCGGGTAAGAGCGTGCGAGGATTCTAGCAGGTCACTTACACCACAGAGCAGGCTGATGAAGGTGGGTCGCGATGACGAGCGGAAGGTGTGGGTCAAGGTAGGGGAGGAGGAGGAGGAGGACGAGGATGAGGAGGATGACGCAGGCTATCCTCGAGGCAGTACTCACATGGACGTTCCTCTCGTTGCCGGAGGTTCTGCCTCCTCGTCCCCGTGGGCTCCTGACTACTGTGCCAGGCCCGCCAAGTGACGCGGAGCATTATCGAGATTCTCTTGCTCTGTGGGCCCAGGGAGCTCAAGGGGAAGGAGGTGGGGGGAGAGGGAGGAGACGATGAGGAGAGGAGCGCGCAGGAGTTGTTCTCCTTCCAGTTGCTAGGGCTCAGCCAACTGAGACAGAACAAGGTAAGGAGAAGCTGAGAAGAGCGAGACGCAGACTTGCTCTGCAGGTTGAATGTTCGAGCCCCACAAGCTCCTCATCGCGCAAGATAAAGTTCCTCTTCATCGCAGAAATCGACTGCTCCTCCTGCAGCAACGAGACTTGCTCGCTGCTGCTTCGGGATCGCTCGGGTTGTTTCAATGTCCTCTTCGAGGTATACTGCTCGTGTCGTGCTCTCCCTCATATAATAGCGCAGGAATCAACTGTCATCACTCCAATGCTCGGGAAACTCCTTCTCGGCATTTCTTTCAACACTTTTGGAGGATCAGAAGACTCTGTGAAGCAGTCATGCTTCATCGAACTGAAAGGTTCTCTTTCTTCTGATGCTGTTGGTTCTCTTTGTTTTGTTGTTCTCATCTTGTATTCTCCTCCACCTCCTTTGTCATACCTGCCTCTCTCCTCCTTCCGCTCCTTCAGCTTTTTCTACTTCTCAGGCCACAGGTGACTCTCTGTTAGATGCGCGAGTGGTCGGGAGATCGACAGTCTCCTCCACCTACGCAGATGTTTCTCTTGCTCCTCCTGCTGGTCTGCGGCCTCCTGCACTCTCTCCTTCTCACGCAACCGCAGACTCTGTCAGAGAATTTCAGCAGAGGCAGAGGAGGGAGGGGAACGTACAGGGGGTGGTCGCCTCTAAGAGCCCCATCTTCGCTTGCGACTCAGCGGCTGACGCATTTTTCTTCGTCGAGCTTGCGGAGGACGAACGAAGGGGCGGCAAGGGGAGGAATCTTCAAGGTTCGGAAGGTGGGGATGGAAGTCGAGGAGCCGGGGGGAGCAGAAAGTTCAGCTCAAGCCTGCTGATCATCTTCAAAGGCAGCAAGCATGTCCGGTGGTTTCCTCTGCTACAGACAGGCAGGAGGTACATCATCTCCAACCTCCGACTCTCTCGCCTAGAGAAGGGAACCCCGTCCGAGCTTCGGTTGCTACGCGCCATGCAGGAGGAGGAACCAAGCAGGGAGGGAGCAAGGAGTGGTCAGAGTGAGAGCACACGTGTGTGGGAGGTTCTCTCCTCCCCTCCCCTTGCCGCTGCCACCACCATCTCTCAGGTTGCCTCCTGCTTCTCCTGCTTCTCCTGTCTGACTCGTTTCAGCCCAAGTCTCTGCAAAGTATGGGGGAGGAGGAGGAGGAGGAGGAGGAGGAAGGAGCCTCGAGGAGGGGCGGGGTGGTGGAGTATGAGGGGGTCCTGACAGGCGTGAGAGAGGAAGGGATCCTCGTGCTAGACTCTCGCTGCTTCGTCTTCGCCCTCGCTCTCCCCCCCTCTTCTTTCGCTCTCCTCAGACTCGGCGCGAGGCTCCGCGTCGTCCACGTCCTCCCAGTCATCACTAACGGCAGCAAAATCGCCCTCGCATGCTTCTCATTCTCCTCCTTAGAGCTCGTCTCCTTCTCTCTCTCCTCTTCCCCCCCTCCTTCTCTTCCCCTGCTCAACCCCCTCTCTCTGCTCAGCCCCCTTTACCGCAGTCTGTCGCCATGCCGCTTCTGTCGGACCCTCCCAAGTCTCCTGCAGCTTATCCGCAAGTTTCGGAGCAGGAGGAGGCGGCGAGAGGAGAAGGAGGCGCAAGGCAGTGTGGGTGGGAGGAGGATGGACTTGGTCTTCCTCCTCCTGTGCGGGGCGTTACGGCAGCCTGCCTTCATGGGGGAGCTCAGAGATGCGGAGCGAGAGGTGAAGGCCCAGGGAGGGAGGCAGAGTCAGTACCTGGCGTTTGCCAGAAGCCGCCGAGTGGAGTGCGAGGGAAGGGAAGCGAGGGAGGAAGAAGCCACTGAGCTCTACCCCTCCTGCAAGCAGCTCAAGGTAGCGGCGCAGTCTTGGAACAGCAGCAGGAGCAGCAGGCGAGGAGAAGGGGGAGGAGGAGCTGAAGAATACCTTGTGCTGTCCGCAAGAGAGACCAGGTTGGCGGTAGGAAGAACAATGAAAAGCGAGGAGGATCAGGACCCGCTACTGTCTCTCTGTGGGGCCAGGAGACGGGGCTGGTGTGAAGGAGCGCAAAGGCAAGGGCAAGGAAGAGGTGGTGGTGATGGTGGAGCAGCAGCAGCAGCAGCAGCGCGAACAGGAACAGATGGAGGAGGAGCAGGAGGAGGAGCAGGAGGAGGAGCAGGAGGAGGAGAAAGAGGCAGCTTTGTTCTCATCGGGAGGCTGGTGCAGCATCGAGGTCACGTCGCTCTACAGGATGAAACCGACCTCGTTCACCTCTCGCTTCCCAGCTCCTACCCGCTGCTACCCAGCTTCCAGCTCGGTGACCTTGTGGCCCTTCGCTGCTTCCAGCTGAGCTTGTGTGGTTGCCCTCGCACTTGGACCCGTCGGGACGGCGCGGACAGAGGCTACGATTTGGAGTTCGTGAGTTTTACAGCAGAGGAGGAGGAGGAGGAGGAGGAGGAGGAGGTGAGGGGGAGCAACCAGTGGCATGGGGAGCATAGGAGGATTGAGGCGACGGAAAAGTCGCAGAGGGCCATCGTGCTGCTACGACGATCTACTGTGAAATCAGTGGAGGGTGAGGAGGAGCTGACGATATTCGTCACGCGGGTGAGAAGGAAGGAAACTTCGTTCAAGCTGAGCTGCTGGAGGATGGTCAGCGACTGTGGTGACCCCCCTCCTCCTTTATTGCCCCCAGGGGCAGCAGTGACGTTCAACTTCAGGCTCCTCCTCCCTCTCCCTCTGCTTGAAATTTCCGATAGTGTGCCTTCCAACCCTCTTCTCTTTGGTACCTCCCGCCCCCCCCCCCTTCTGTCATCTCCTGCTCCATCTCCTGCTCCGTCTCCTGCTCCTTCCCCCTTCCTCCTCGCCAACTCCGCGTCTGATCGCATGTCAAAGATTCCTGGGTCCGTCTACAGGCTCAAGGTCGTCTACTCCAGCAGGACGGAGGAGAAGTGGCAGGTGGGCTCCTCCTGGGCTCCTCCCTTTGCTCTGACTGGGTCCAGGTCACCATCGCCGTCAGCTCTGTGCTCTCGGCCTGCAAGCTGGAGGAGGAGGAGGAGGACTCGCCCTGCCGCGCCTTCCTCGACCTCTGCCGCCTCCGATGGCAGGAGCTCTACCCCATCCGCAGCGTTGCTGACCTCGTGGCTGTCGGCGAGGTTCCCTACCTCTCACCCAGCTGGCTCCTGACTCTTCTCCCAGGAACTTCCAGTCCGTTACGCTTCTCTGCGGGTTCTCCTGGTTGACAGGAGCTGGAGATTAAAGCACACCTCCTCCGCTGCTACCGTCCTCCTCCTCCGGGCTGTCGATCCAGGGGCCCCGGTGGCGGAGGAGGAAGGAGGAAGGAGGGAGGAGGGAGGCCGCGGTCACCGAGGGCTGCTCGGCCACGTGGATGTCTACCTGGATACTTCTCAGTGAGCTGCCGCGATCTCAAGAGGAGGGAGGAGGGTGAGGTTTGTGGCAGGTTCTTCGCTCCTCCTGGCCTCCTGCCCGGGGCGATGGTTCTCTTTCATCACGTCTCGATCGAGCGGAGGAGCGGAGGGCAGGTTGCCGCTGCTCGCGCGCTCCCTGCGCTGACTCGTGCAGGTCACTTGCTCGGTGAATGAGAACTCTCTCGTCCTCGTCATCAGCAACGCAACACAAGACTGGGTGACTCTCCTCCTCCACCACTTCCTGCCCCCCCCCCCCATCCAACCGCTGCTGCTGCTGCTGCTGCTGCTGCTGCTGCTGCTGCTCGATCTGATGCTGTGCATTAGCGACCCACAGGTGTACGGGAGTATCTCAAGGAAGCAGGGTCGTCCGTGTCGCCTTTAGGTCTCCGTCCTCTTCCTTTTCCTCTCCTCTTACTCCGCGCAGCTCTCGTTGATACTTATTGGACGACGCCAAGAGTGCTGGGGGTGCTGGGGACAGTCGTAGTAGTGAAGAGGTCAGAAGAGACAACAGAGGAGAGGGAGGAGGGGATTGAGGGATGGGGATGGTGGTGGTGGAGGAGGAGGATGCCAAGGAGATGACGGCTGGCAGGATTGCGATCGAGGCTGCATGTCGCTGGTGTGGAACCGTGAGGAAAGGAGGAGAGACGGGAAGCTGCTGCGAGGAAAAAACTGAGAGACGAGGACGTGCGGTCGAGATGCGCGTGAAGGTCGAAAGGAGGAGGGCGAGGGCGAGGGCGAGGAGGAGGTTATTGGGATTCACGATGCTGGCCTTCAGGCGGAGTGTCTGGTGGACGATGGAACGGGTCGAGCTTGGATGCTGCTGGAGGGACGCGAGTTGGTCCTGCGGAAGCTGATGAGATGCGGAGAGGAGGAGGAAGAGGAAGGTACTGCTTCCTGCTCTGCCGTGACTGACATGATGGGCTCAGCGGATCATTGGCATCGCAAGTGAACTGGGAAGGTGAGAGGAGGAGGAGGAGGAGGAGGAGGAGGAGGAGGAGGAGGAGGAGGAGGAGGAGGGAAAGTGGTTGAGGGCGATGACGGAAGTGACAGAGTGATCTACGAGCATGGCGTTGCTGCAGAAGCTCTTTCAAACCTCCTCTTCATGGGCGATGGAGAGCTGAAGGTAGCTCACAGACGAAAGCATGTGAGCGAGGAGGAGAAGGAGGAGGAGGTGGTGGTGGTGACGACTTGCCTGCAGGCCTCGGCAACCCATCTCCTTGCCACCCTTGTGATCAGGAGTTCCTCTTCGGGTAAGGAGGGAGGAAGAGGATCAAGAGCAAGGGGAAAAGAGGAGGGGAAAGGCGACAGGAGGGACAGGAGGAACAGGAGGGACAGCAGGGACAGGAGGAACAGGAGGGACAGGAGGGGGAGGTCGAGGAGGAAGGGAGTTGGGGCAAGTTCTTCACATGCTGACTAGCCAACAGGCGACTTGAACGAGCTTGAGTTTGTGTGCGAGTTTATCCCAAGAAAGAGAGCTGCTGCGCCCCAGCTCAAGGAGACTGTGCTTGGAGTTCACCACGCTCAGCGGTGCGTCTCCTCCTCTCCTCCTCTTCTCCTCCTCCGCTCACTTGCTGCAGCTTTTCCATCAGCCTCTCTCCTCCCGTCCAGCTCTCCGTCCTCGAGATTCACCGCAGAGACTTGACCAGTGCGTGCTCAACCTTTCACCACTGCCTCCTGCTCCCCCTCCTCCCCCTTCCCCTCCTCCTCCTCACGTCCTCTCCTCTTCAGGTCTGGCCTACTCGCTTCTCCTTGCCTTGCCTACCAGTGGCAACCGGCCGCTTCCCTCGACAGGTTCGGGTCTGCCGAGGCGTCAGGCTGAGGGGGGCCCAGCACAAGCCCACCTGAAGCCTCCATGAAAGCGTCCCAAGCTTCTTCTCCCAGCTCCTTGGCCAGCTCTTGTTCGGAGTAGACGAGCAAGCCGTCGCAAGACTTTCGGGCTACAGGACTAGAGTCAAGGAGGCAAGGACAAGAATAGAGGCATGTAGTACCGCTGCTTCCTCCTCCCTTGTACTTGTTTGCTTCCTGCGCGATCTCCTTCAAGTCTGGTCCCTTGGTCGTGTCCTTCTTGTCGCTCTCGCTCTGCTTGCTGCTTTGCCGTCAGAGGAACCCAGGGAGTTGCTCATGGTGAGGACCTGCGTGATGGTTTGCTAGCGAAGATATCATCGAGCTCATCTTCCTCCACTCCCTTGCTTCCTTTCTTGCTCTTCTTCGCGGAATCGCTCGCTACCTCCGACTTCTTCGAGTTTTCCTGAGCCCGCAAACAGCATCAAGTCTCTTTCCTCACGAGCATCCACGAACCTCAGGCTTGTCTCTCTTGTTTGATTTCTTCGTCATTCAAGAGAAGTAGTTCCTTCCAACGAGCGTCACAGAACATTTCTTCTCCTCACGCCTCCTCAACCCCACTGACCAATAAAGACTGGGAGACCTGTCTTTCACTCCCCGCCTCTACCCTCCATCTTTGAACCCTGTTGTGATCACCTTCCTTGTACACCACTTCAACCACAACGATGTCTTACCCCCGAACAAAACTCTTGCTCCTCCTGATTTCTCTTGCTCCTCCTGATTTCTCTTGCTCCTCCTGATTTCTCTTGCTCCTCCTCCTCCTCCTCCTCTCCGCTACTTTCCATCAACCGCACGTGCCATTTCGGCGATTGCACCGGGTCAGTGAGGGGACGAGGGATTGTCATAGCGGGGATGTGGAGACTCGAGCAGTGCAAGGAAACAAGTTTGTGGATATGGCCCGTCCTCCCACTCCTCGTTCGCCCTCCCTCCCTCCTCTCCTCCTCCCTCTCTCCCTCTCTCCCTCCTCTCTCTCTCCCTCCTCTCTCCTCCTGCTCCTGCTCCTCCTCCCATCTCCTTCCATCCCCTTCCCTCACGACAGCCTCGATCTTCCCGACAGGATACACGTCCTCCAAGCCCTGGCAAGCCGATCCCACGTCATTCTCGTCTCCCCACCCCATCCTTTCCTCCCCATTGCCGTCGCCAAGGCGAACCCGCAAGACTTGACGATCATCCATCATGACGCTAGAGCCGTCGAGGAGATCAGGTCAAGTCTGAGTCACTGGCCGGTGACGGTCTTGCATGGGCAACTTGGGCATCAAGGAGGGACTGTGGGGGTGAAGGTGGAAGAGCGACCGAGAAGCGTGCTGGAGTATCTATCGAAACATCGTGAGGTGCACGAGCAAGTTGTTTCCCTCCTCCCTTTCAGGGCGTTGGTGAAGAAGGGAGGTACAGCCGACACAGCCGACACCGCACAGGACGGGCGAGAGGGGATGGATGACGGGGATCTCCTGGTGGTGGTGGACTCGGAGCCATCCACGAATGCATCAAGTGTGTGGAACAGCATGCAGCATTGCCATGAGGTAGTTGAAGCTTAACATCTCGGAGCTTCGTTGAAATTCTTTCAGCGATGCTCCCTTGTGGTGTCGTTGGAGTACGACGGGGAGGGACTTGTCTTCGACGAGCTATCCCTCCGCATCCTCCACCTGCTCTCTAACTCCCGCAAGAGATGTTTCTGGCTGATGTCAGGTGACCACTGGTTGCTGCTTGCCTTTTTGAGGTCATCACATCAGATTGGAGCGAACGCTCGCCGGCCCAGGAGAAATTTGTTTCTTCCTCACCCTCTGTCCCTGTAGCCAGCTCGCCGTCTTCCTTCCTGCCTCCCCACCTGGACATTGCTTGCTTGTCAACGAAGGCTACTAGATCTGCTCCACCTGACGTTGAGGTCGTCTTCGAAGACGTGCATGCACAGTTGAGGCGTCTGGTCAAGAGTTTCAATCCAAAGTTCTATCAGGACAACGTGTTCACGCAAGGGGTGAGATGGAGTTGCTCTACTCCGATCCTCTTCGTCTCTCCTCTTTCTATCTTGTCGGTCACACGTGGCTTCAGGTTATCAAATCAGCCATCTGCAAACAGTTCGGCAACTTGTGCCCCTCGCCACGAGGCCTCGCGCTCTTCCAGCACAGTGACTCGTCATTGTTGGGGAGGTCCCTTTCTCTGGTAGGGAGGATCTCAGCCCCTCATTACCTAGTTGCTACCATCACCTAGCTCCTATCTCTTGGACTTCTCCTCCTCTTATTCCTCTCTACTCCCTTTGTAGCCGGAGAGGACAGCGGCTGCCAAGCTTCGACGGCTGATTCAAGATCTTCAGTTTCCGGTCAGTTCTAACACCTCCTTAGTACACCCTCTTACCTCCTAACTACCGGTACACTAACTCGCGTCTAGCTTGACTCCAAGTGCTCCAACACGAGACGAATGGTAGGCTCCATGGAGTCTTGATTCAACTCGATCCTTGCATTTGCTCTCGGCTTTTTGGTTATCGCTTTTCTCTTCTGTTGCGCTTAGCTGGTTGCAGATATTCTGCTACACCAACCCTAAGCTCGCGGGTCATGGGGCTCAATTCCACGCCATGGTGCGACCTTGAGAATAGAGGAGTTGATGGACTGGAGATGAGAAGGAGGTGAGCTGACAGACCTGATAGATGGAAGCCTTTTCTTACGCCATTGCGACAAATCGGACCATGGTTTTGGATGATGAGTGTGATTGGTCGATGAAAGTTGCAGACAATGAGGTGAGAGAATTTAAGAAGGAGGGAGAGACTGACAGTGACATCAGTCGACATCCTTCTGGAGTCATTACTTTCTCAACATTTCCACTTGTCCCTCTCCTCGCATCAGGGCTCCCCGTCCTCTCAGTCCTGTATGATGTTGTTGAGCACAGAGGCAAAGAGAGTGAAGCGATCCCAGGGAGATGATTCTGAGCGAGTCGTCTTGTGGGACAGTGTTACCGCCACGTGAGCACTTTGCCTCCCTCTTGCAGTCTTTCATCAGTTTCGTTGACAGCTCTGATCTTCTTGTACCCCGAGGAGCCGAGCAGTGGTGCCCCAGCAATGTAGGGTGTTTTCCTTCTGCTGAGTTCTTACCCTTTTGATCCTTACGGCAGCGATGGAGTCACAACTGCTTCCCTCCTCTGGCTCATGTATGAAGAATATCGATCTTTAATCGTTCTCCATGAGCATAAGTCTGAGATGTTCGAGGATCTTTTTGTTATTCACTGTCTTGGATACATTCGACTCATCCTCTATCTACTTTGTGCTAGGGCTTCGGAAGGTTCTGGTGGAACTCGATTCTCATTGGAGAGGTAGGGAATGTTTATTACCTCTTCTCTACTCATCCGGACAGCTGTTGAGGCCCAACAATCGAGTTGAAGAAGCGATAGCACAGGAAATCGAGAAATTCAAAGTAGACCCATTCTTTTGTCTTCCAGTAGCTGTCTGTATGCCGATGTCTGCCTTGCTCAGATTCCTTGATTGTCTTTGCCTCTGTTCTCACCTTCTGCTGTCTTTTTGATGCTTTCTGTAGCAATGTTCTTGTATTCATTCTCGTGTACTTGTATTCATTCTCGCTCTCTCATTACTTCCTTCTCGTTTCACATTCTTCTACCTGTCGTCCTCACCCTCTCCTAGGATAAGGGATCTACTCTTCGGATCTGCATACATCATCGTAGCGGGCACAAGGTAAAAAGATGGAGCAACGAGCAGGGGGCTGAACCTGTCCGAAGGTCATTGAGATTCCTCCCCGCCCCGTGCAAGCATATGCCGACGAGCTCGTCTCCGTCCTGCTACGGGTGGTGCGAGGAAGAAGAAGCATTCGAGGGAGGCAGGAGACATCGGGTCCCAACTCCTCCTCTTCAGGTTTTTCTCCTTTCGTCAGGGACTTCAGGAGTTGAAGTAAGATGGCAGAGACGATGCTGGCGGAGATTTCACGGAAGATGGGTCAGATAATGTTTTCCCATTGCTCTTGTCTTGCTGGATCCTCTTGCTGTCACTTGCCGTTTCCTGTTCTTTCATTCTTTTCATCACCAGCATCTAGCAGAAGGGAGTAAGCTTGCGCTCTTCGTAGCCACAGAGGTCATCCCCTCACCTCTCTCCTGATCTTTTTCTGTTGGGGTTGCTGAAGATGAAACAGGACGCGATCGCTCTGCGGCATCTCTCTGAAACCGCTTCTGTCTTCAACTTCTCCACCAGAGTCTCGACCTGATGGGCCTGCAGGCGTTGGGCATGCGAGTGGCAGTGTCTGACGAGTCGCATCCTCGTCCCAACTTTCGCATCAGCATCCCCAAGGCGGTCAGTCTCTGCATCCTCTCCTGTGACTTGATGTTGATGGTGCAGGTAAGCATGAAGCTTTTGGATGCCGAGCAGGAGAACATGCTCTCGCTTGTCTCCTTGTTTACCATGGCCAGATCATGCGACGTCTTTCTTGGCCGTGAGTACTTCCTCTCCCTTTCTCTCTTCTCTTCTCTCCTCTCCTCTCCTCTTCTCTACTCTTCTATATTCTGTCTACTCTTTTCTTTCCTGACGTCCCCTTCAACTCATGCTTTATTCGACTCCTTACGCAACCGCGCAGCCTTCTCCTCAGGATACAGCAGGCAGCCTTCCCCCTGAAAGAATCTTTTCTGACGCAGCTACCAGGCTGGTCATGGAGCTTGCGGTGTCAGCGCGAGCAGCTGTGATACCCCATGCCTCTCTCGACGTAGCCTCATCCTTCTACTGACCGGATATCAACTCTTCTCCTCCACAAACTCTATCGCGTTCGAATCCACATCGCGGCAGAATGCTGCTCGTCGTCCAGACTTGGACATGGTGTACGCGACTCCGTGCTTCTCCAGTCGCTTCAGGAGAGGAGTGAGGTCACCGACTGTTACTGCCACGTGCCGATCTCGCCCACCATGCTCGGGACGCCCAACCTTGGGATCGAGGGAAGGGAGCTGCATGAGATGGATTTGACTGTCCCCGCAACCAACGAACGCTCCTGCTGGATTCGTCACCACAACACACTTGCGACAGGGGCGGAGGACGAGCAACATGAGAGCACAGGAGCGAGAAGAAGCAACGGTGAGGAGAGTGCAGAGCAGGGAGGAGGAGCCTGTGGAAGAGGAGGGAGAAGAGAAGGGAGGAGGTGGAAACAACCAGACGCGTGACAGGGGGAGCACGGACCTGGGTAAGGAAGGTTGGGGTTACGCATGTGGCTCTCGTCTTTCATGCCCAGGACTTGAGTGTAGAACTTGAGAGATCTCTCCACGTCGTCAACAAGCACTCCAGCATGCTGCAGCGATAGATAACCCACTTCCTCTTGCACCCCTTCCTCCCCGCTGCTCATTCTTGGGGCACTACGACGGAGAGGTGCAGCCGCTGGACTCGCGAAGAGTCGGTGTACTCCTCCATGCGAGGTTCGAGCCGCCAGGATGTTGTTGGGTGAAGCGAACAGGAAGGCATCGGACACCATGAAGACACTCGCAACAAGTGCGAACCTCGTCGGCAGCATCACTAAGATGTTGAACCTGTTCAATCAAAGTAAATATCCAAATATCAATGTCAGAGCACAATTTCACATGCTATTGCTAGTACTCGTCGCATTCAAAAGTCGCCGATACCTGACTTATCCTATCCAACTCCACAGACTATCTTGATGTTCTAAACGAAAACGATCCCACCTTTACTTACTTACTGTCTGTCTGTCTGTCTGTCTGTCTGTCTGTCTGTCTGTCTGTCTGTCTGTCTGTCTGTCTGTCTGTCTGTCTGTCTGTCTGTCTGTCTGTCTGTCTGTCTGTCTGTCTGTCTGTCTGTCTGTCTGTCTGTCTGTCTGTCTGTCTGTCTGTCTGTCTGTCTGTCTGTCTGTCTGTCTGTCTGTCTGTCTGTCTGTCTGTCTGTCTGTCTGTCTGTCTGTCTGTCTGTCTGTCTGTCTGTCTGTCTGTCTGTCTGTCTGTCTCTCCCTCTCCCTCCCTCCTCTCCTGTAAAATTCCGCACCTTCCCATGAGTAATAAACTATGATCCGCCCCAGGGACATTCAGAGGAAAACTTTAAAGGCAGAAATAATTATCACACATTTTGTACCTTAGAATGTTGATGCCACAGAACAAGTGACGGGGCGGGTTTGTCCTGTTAGCCATGGCAATAGCGGGGATGAGGGCACTGCAGTGTAGAAAGGTTTCAGTCAACTCTCGGCTTTACAACGATCATCTTTTAAAAAGTATTTTAATCATAGAAGTAATTTAAATCGATCCGCTATGCCGGCGGGGTGGGGACCAGCACCCCCTCCTTTAGTGACTTTTTGAGGTGAAATAGGCGGAAGGGTCATGTGCTTGTTTACTACCGCAGGTGAAAAAGTGGGGTTGGGGTAGTCCGCACTTGTTCAGCCATGTCAAGTCTTTGTACCCCCCATTTTACTGTAATAAGTACCGGTACTTCTCCACATTCTGCAATATCTGGGATTTTAAAAGTTTAGGTTGACCCCACCCAACCTAATGGACCTTTTTTTTTTTTACTACCCTCCGTCTGCTGGAAATTTTGGGGGCTACAGGGGTACCCCCACCACCCAATTGTCAACCTAAAAGCTCCAAGGTCATCTACCCCCCAAAACCACCATTATTCAGCCCCCACCCACCCCTCCTGAAAGAGCTTTTAAAATCGCACCCGGCCACATAATACGGTCTCGGAGTACCCCACCCCACTCTGATTTCTACCCCCACCCGTACCATAGATACTCCTCGACATACGCCTTGGCTGCCGTAAGCGTTGGTACCCTACCCCCCCAGGGGACGGTACTGCCAGTTCATGGCGATGGTACGAGTATCCTTCAGGTGGATAAGGAGAGGAAAGGAGTAGAGGAGGAGCAGGCGAGTTTCACGGTGAAGGGTCTACGACAGGAGAAGCAGCACAAGGGCCCTCGCTGTCAGCACCTGAGGCGTAAGAGCGCGTTGCCTTCAGCCCCTCTTGCTCGTGAGACTCGGAGAGGTTGGTAGAGACGGTTGAGGACCTCGCACACCAGTTAAAACCAGCAAAGCCTGTCATAGAGACACAGATGGAGGAGTTGGACCCAGCTCCCCTGGGCATGGACGGCAAGCAACCAGCTAACTCACCACCATGTGTGGAAGAGTCGTCGGTTGTAGATCCAACTGCACACGCCATCATGGAGATCTTTACTCACTCTCATAGCGACGGGTACAAGCCGATGCCCTTTTATCAGCGTTTCAAAGAAGAGATTCGATTGTGGGGCTCGGAATCGAGAGAGAGGATGGCATGGTACACCTACGACTGGGCCAACAGCATGTTCGCAGCGATGGCCGTGACTTTCTTCATGCCGCTGCTATTGGCGTCCATGGCAAAAACTGCCGCCTTCAAGGGCAATCTCATCCCTACCTGCTCAAATTGCACCTCCTACAGTTGCCCTCAAAGCGTCGCGAGCTGTCAGATGTGTATCATGGGTGAAGGAGACAAGTATTGGAACGCTAGCAGTCAAGAATGGACGGACCTGCCAACCAGAACCATCGCCTGGTGGCCTGGAAACGTTGATGCCTTTCAGTTTGCGACGAGAGTTGTATCCTACAGCGTCATTCTTCAGTTGATCATCTTCATCACGATAGGAGCCATCGCAGACTACGAGAGGTACCGATACGTGTTCTTCTTGGGTTTCATCATTGTTGGGAGTATATCTTGCATGCTGTTGATCAGTGTGACGAGCTCGTCGCTCTACGTCTATGCTGGAGCTCTCGTCATCATCAGCAATGCGTGCTGGGGGGCAGCCAACGTGCTCTACAACTCGTACCTTCCCTTGATCGTTGCGGACCACAAGGAAGTGGTTGCGGCGAACGGGAACCATGATGTATGGGAGGACATCGAGAACTTCATGAGCTCTCTCGGCTTCATGATGGGGTATGTGTCGGGGATCATCAGCACTATCGCTGCTCTCATCCTTGTCTCTGTTATCGCTAATCAGGAGGTTGCATACAAGATCAACATCTTCATCGCGGGGGCGTGGTGGGCTGTGTTTTCTGTGGTGACCTTGAGGGGTTTGAAGGTGAGAAAAGGAAAGTCAAGCACTGGGGAGAGATTTCTCATCTTCCGCGGATGGTATTCTACGTTCAACTCGTTTGTACATGCTGCTCAATACCCGGAAACCTTTAAGTTTTTCCTCGCTTGGTTTTTCTACTCAGACAGCTACTCGACCGTAGCTCAGGTCGGCGTGTTGCTGGCTCAGCAGCAGCTTTGCATGCCTGGCTCTAAGCTGGCATTCATCCTCGTCTTCACCATGATTTTTGCGCTTTTTGGGAACATGTTCTTTCTCTGGCTGCAGCAGAGGTGGGCAATCGGGTCAAAGGCGATCGTCACGATCAACCTCTTCGGTTACATTGTGATCTGCGTGATCGGGATGATGGGGTTCATTCCAGGTTCGGGAGGAGGAGACGTGGGTTGACGCGTTGACGCTCTGCGCAGGCTCCAAGGTCGGCTTCAAGACCGACACAGAGGCTTACGTGTTCGCACTGATCCATGGGTTCATGGTCGGGTCGCTCCAATCTTTCTCTCGCACCATCTGCTCCGACTTGTCTGTTCCTGGTGGGCCCTGCATGCTCGCTCACCGCCTTGTGATGGACTCGCGCAGGGAGGGAGTCGGAGTTCTTCGCTCTCTTCGAGATCACCAACAAGGTTGTCGCACGGCTCCTCCTCATCCGCGGCTCACCTTCTCCTGTAGGGATCCTCCTGGCTTGGGCCACTGATCGTTGGAGAGCTGTATCGAGCGAACGGGAACATGAACTACGGGTAAGGAGGAGGAGGAGGAGGAGGGAGCAAGCCACAATTGGTGATGACGGACCTCGACAGGTTTCTGTACCTTTTCCTCATGATCGTTCTGCCGATGTTTTTGTTTTGGAGTGTGAAGCACGAGAAGGGGATGCGGGATGTGAGTAATGCGGTGCTGCAGGCTTGTCGTTGACTCTTTTGCCAGGTTGGAAGGTGAGAGGGCGGCAATTGGTTTCAATGCTCACGAGCAAGCAAGACCGACGATCCGCAAGAGTATCTTGGAGGTGAGGGGTCTGTCTTCAGGCAGCAGATGCAGGACGCTCTCCTTGCACTGGAAGTAGCGCAAAGGGTTACTCAGGTCACAGTGAAGTGTAATAAATATCAATATACCTTCAAGAAGCCGATCCATAGCACGCGCTCTAGCCTCCACCTGCGCCGCATCAGGCACCATTGCCCAATCCCTTCTCCTCCCCCATCCATCGCCCCCTCCTCACCTAAGTCGGCGCTTGTAGCAGACGAACATGTGGGAAGCGCAAGGGCCGGAGACGACGGCAGAGATCGCGTTGCGCACGGGAGGCTGCTCTAGCCTTTGCGGCAAGCATGCATGCTTCGGGAGCGCGTCTGACTCGCTAGGGTTCCTGAGATGTTCCGTATGACCCCAGACGTACAATGGATCCTCCTCCTCCCCCTCGCACACAGCAAACGTGCTCCGAACGCCGCACGCCAGCTCCACTACTCGCGTCCCCCGCAGGGCCTCCACCCGGCAAGGACGAGAGCTGTTCTTGAAGCTCCCGTGCCCGAGCTCCCCCATCTTCCCTCGCCCGAAGCACCACACCTCCCCCTCCCTGCTCAGCACGGCCGAGTGCACGAAGCCGCAGGAGGCGAGCTTCGCTTCGACCGGCTGAGGAAACTTTAACTTCCTCGGGCTCAACACCTCGCTCACACCCGCGTGTCCTGTCTGCCCGTTGATGTTACAACCCCAGCTGTAGACGCTGCCCTGGCTCGTGACGGCGACAGAGTGCAGTCCTCCCCCAGCGCAGGTTTGAACTTTGAGCCCCGGGGGGAAGAGAACTTTCCTGGGCTGCGTCTTGGTCTCGTCGTCATCGCAGAAGCTCACCGTCCCTGTCCCCAGCTGCCCCTTGATGTTGCTGCCGAAGGTGAACAGCTCTCCGTCCTGGTTGACGACGAGCGAGTGCGAGGCCCCCGCAGACAGGAAGACGATGAACATGCTCCTCAAGCTCTCGATCACTTGCGGCCTCGAGCAGTCGTCGTGGTAGACCCCCAGCTGACCTGAGTACTTCTCCCCCCACGACAGGACGACGCCGGTGCTGAGCAAGCACAGGGCATGGTCGTACCCGCAGCTCACCATCACCACCTCTCCTCCCTCGAGGTGCGAGGCCTTGAGCCTCGTCATGACACAAACAGGCTGCTCCTTCTCCTCCTGCGACTCCGCTCGCTCGAAGTTTCCCTCCTCCCCCCCAGCAGAGCTCCCACACTCTTCCGCATCCCCCAGCCCCAGCTGTCCGCTGCCATTCTCTCCGCATACCCAGACTGCTCCGCACTCGGACAGCATGACGGAGAACTCATGTCCACAAGATCCTGTCCTCACTGCACAGCCAGCAGGTGCCCCCTCCATGTCCTCACTCCTGCACCGGGAGGAGGATGTGGAGGAATCATTCAGACACTGCCGGCCTCCTTCGACATGAGGAGGAGAGGGAGGACGAAGAGGACGATGATGGAGGGAGCAGATGGAGACTTGCTGCAAGCTCACCACCTTGTCTCTCCCTCCTGCTCCCACCTCTCCCTTCTCGTTGCTCCCTAGCCCCCACGCCCCCGACGCCATTGCTGTCCCCCGTCCCCCGTTTTTTTACTCAACAGCTGTTATGGAGCCTGGGAGGAAGGAGAGGAGAGGAGAGGGGAGGGGAGGGGAGGGGAGGACCGAGGGAAGCTAAGGAGTGATGGTACCACTTGCGGCATGGACGAGGAGGTAAGAATGTGTGAGAGGATGGGATCGCAAGTCAGCGAGTAGGCGAGATCCCGCTATCTCTTGTAGCATCAGCACCGGAGGAAGGATGAAGGGGACCCGAGAGAATTATTAACACAAAGAAGGTTGCACACTGAAGGAGAGGGAGGTAGAGGTGCGAGAGGAGGACCTGACGAGCAGGAGCAGGAGCAGGAGCAGGAGCAGGAGCAGGAGCAGGAGCAGGAGCAGGAGCAGGAGCAGGAGGAAGAGGACTAGATGGAGTCTTCATCCTTTTGCCGCCGCCCCTGTCGTATCGATGAGGCCAGGGATGCTAGAGTCGTCATGTTGTCTTCGTTGCCATGAATCGCTTCGCTGCTCATCACTAAAGTCTCAGCCCTCTGCCTTTCCTCCACCCTTTTCCTCCCTCCCCACCCCTCCCCTCCCCCCTGTTTATTTCGGTTCCCTCCCCCCCCCCCCCCCCCCACACACACACCTCCTCCCCCACCTGAATCTGAGCCTCTGGTATGCTCGTCCACCCAGCCTCCAGAGAGTCGTTGAGCCCTGCGACTGCCAGTCACTTCCTGCCCAGCTGCCCTCCACCTCCGCCTCCAGTTTCTCACCTGACATAGACTCTCCTCGGCTGACGATGGAGCCCGCGTCGGACGCAGACAACCCTCCCTCTTCCTCGCTCCTTGTCTGCTGCCGGGGTGACGAGCAGATCAAAGAGGGTGGATGAAGGGGTCTTACCTCCTCCTCATCCTCCCTACCATGTGCAAGGCTCTCTTGCTCCTTGCGCCTCCTGTTCCTGGCAGCAGAGCAGTGTCTCAGGGGAGGACTGAGCAGGAACCGCCTCATCATACCTCTCCGTCCTCCTTCGAATGAACTCCCGGAAGCGCTGCTCCTCCTTCAAGGAGAGGTAGTGCCAGAGGGCGATGCTGAAGACGACCACGAACGCCAGGCTGCACAGGATGACGACGACGATCTAGAGGAGGATTGAGAAGAGCGATGAGGACGAGGGCAGGGCAGGGCAGGGCAGGGCAGGGCAGGGCAGGGCAGGGCAGGGCAACACAAGAAGAGAGGAGGAGGGGCAGGGAGGAGGGTGAGGGGAGGGGGAGGCAGGACCATCCATTGACTTGTCGAAGTTTTTGGATTTGCTACGATGCAGTATCCGATAGAGGAGCATCTGAGGAGATTGTGAGGAAGAGCAGCAGAGGAAACAACGACGAGGAGGGAAGGGGAGGGAAGAAGCAAGGAGGACGGGAGGCAAGGGGGTAAGGAGGACGGGAGGCAAGGGGGTAAGGAGGACGGGAGGGGCAGGGACAAGGTGGACAGCGAAGAAAAAGGGAGAGTAGGAAGGGATTTCCATACCTGCAAGCTTGTTCCTTGCAAGAGAGTTTGCAGTCTAAGTCAGACGAGCAGTTGACGTAGGCCACGGCATCGACTCCGCTCCCTGTTGTTCCTTGCTCTGAAGGTTGGACAGCAGTGTTCTGAGCAGGAGGAGGAGGAGGAGGAGGAGGAGGAAGAGGGAGAATTTGAACTTGGTCGAAGAGACGGCAAGTCTGCGCGTTGAGCACTGTGGTGAGGTTGTCAGGGGGAAAGGAGTATGGAAGCTAGACAAGCAAACATGTCTTGATGTTAAGGAGAAGCTTGTCGTTGGCAAACGCTGATCTGATGGCAGAGGTTTGGCTGCTCGAGAGATCGCGAACTACGTACCACACTGAGGAGAAGGAGATCAGTGACTGACAGGGTGACTCGGCCGACGGCCCCGGACTTACCCCGAGCCTCTGCTGGTGCAGCTGCTGAATAGTCGATGCTTGCAATGAAAGTTTGTGATGAAGAGATGAAAGTTTGACCTGTGACAGCAGCGAGTCACGAACCAAGGAGCAGCAAGTATGGGCAGGAGCAGGAGCAGGAGCAGGAGCAGGAGCAGGAGCAGGAGCAGGAGCAGGAGCAGGAGCAGGAGCAGGAGCAGGAGCAGGAGTAGCAGTATGAGCAGAGAAGGAGGAGATCCACTGACTGTAGTTGGAGAGGAGCAGCGACAGGTCCAGCAGCAATCCCAGCAGCATCCCTCCTCTAAAGTTCTTCATGTCCGGTGCGGTAAGAGCGAGGGGCACGTTGACTCGAACTTCGCCTGCTCCGAGGACGCGGAAGCTCCCGACAGTGTAGAGGGTGCCGTCCCGAGCTGCAAGCACGACCTTGCCATCGTCCAGAACGACCTGAGCTGATTTGATCTCAAGCGGAGCAGGAGCAGAAAACCTGCGCTCCTTGTCAGCTTCCCTGCAAGCCTCGGGTATTCGAACCTCCAACTCTCCACCAGACTCCCAGCTGCCGCTGCCGTCACTGCGAGGAGAGTGTTGGCGTCTCCGGGAAGGAGGAGAGTCCCGTCAGCGGTCAGGACAGCAGACGCCTGAGGAAGGGAACGGAAGTTTGAGAGCGGCAAGGAGCAGAGGAGGAGGAGAGGGGCAGAGAGAGGGGTGGGGGTGAAAGGAAGGGAGACCCAAGAAGTGATGTAGGGAGATGGGGGGAAGCAGAGAGATAAGTTGAGCTGGTGCAGGGAGGGGGGAGCAGGGGAGCAGGGGACCTGCATGGCAGGTGCGTTGGAGTAGTTGGAAAGACAGTGTGCCTGCAGGAGTCTTGAGCCGGGTCTCAGCTCGAGTTGAGATGACGCACCGGCACGTCGCTGGCGCAGAAAGTGCGCAAACTTTGACCGCCATCGCTGACAACGACGAGTTGGTATCCTGACACGACCGCGATCTCTCCGGATGGCAGGAGGACGGGCGAGGAGGAGCCATCCCATCCCCCGCAGAAGCTGTTGTCAGGCCACAGGACATCACCGTTGGAGCTGATCTTGCGGAGAGACCCGCTGTTGAGACAGAGGTAGATGTCGTTGTTGGGCGATATCATGGGAGTCCCGGTGATCTGACTGTTGAGATTGACGACCCTCACTGGCTGCCCACTGACCGCCGACACAAAATGCAGGTTCCCCGAGAGACGCGCGGCGATGACGAGCGAGTCCCCGACTAAGGCGGGAGAGGAGAGGTAGGAGTCTGGAGCCGGGTTGTAGATCCACCTCCTCGCTCCCGTCTTGGCGTCCAAGCAGAAGCAAGCTCCAGCTGCTGTTCCCGTTGAGCCTGTGCAAACGAAGAGGGAGGAGCCGTCGGAGGACGGGACAGGGGAGGACATGTAGACGTTGAGGGAGCAGGACGCGACTCCTCCGCTTACCATCTGGCAAAGATCGACGACCCAGACTTCCTTGTATCCTTGCTCGATCGACTTCCCTTGGATGGCAACCACCGAGTTCTGAGCCGCGACTACCAGGAGATAGTCGTCTCTCGTGCTGTTCACGATTAGCGGAACAGAAACTGTGAGCTGGTCGGACAGGAATGCTGCGATCTTATGCTGCCATAGCTCAACCAGTTGCTTCGGCTGAGGGTTCCAGGCGTCCCCTGCCGACTGCACTGGCGCCTCCTTGAGGGCAAACAGCGTCCCGGTCGTGCTCAGCACGAAGACAACACCGTTCTTGTCTCGAACTATGTCAGTGTTGATCGCAGTGCCAAGCTTGAGGGTGTCTGAGGGGACAAAAGTGGATAAGGAGGGAGACAGGGACTGGACAAGCTGCCCCTGCCTCCTCCCACTGCATCGGAACATGGGGCAAGAAACCGCACAAGGCATGATGATCATGGCCGAGAGGACAACAAGCTCCATGTACCTCAATCTTCCACTAGAGAAAACATTGGTTGAGCTGCCGCTCATGTGCTCTCTTATTGCAACTTTGCATTGTTGCCTCTTGTCGTCGTCTCTCCTGGTTGTCTTCTCGTTCGTCTTCATCTTGTTTCTTCCCACTTCATCTTGATCCCTCAGTCTCCCCCTGCTCCTGCTCCTGCTCCTGCTGCTGCTTCTGCTCCTGCTCTTTTCCTACCCCCATTCAGGTTCTCCTCATGACCTCCTCCTCTTCCATCCTCATCCTCATCCTCATCCTCATCCTCATCCTCATCTTCATCCTCGTCTCTAGTTTCATCTCATCTCCACCATGTTTATCTTCTTCTCCTCCTCAAGTTGGCTCAGCCATTTTTCCTTGTCAAACGGTTTATCCTGACGGTTATGAAACCGTTATAGAGGTCAAAAGAGTGCCCATCAAACATGACTGGGGCAGGGAAATGGCTCTGTTGCGCGAAGAAGGAAAGGACGAGAGGAGGAGAGAGGACGAGAGGAGGAGCGAGATGCAGATATGCGGATCGAGGAGATAGTAAGAGCCGATCAGCCCCCGTTGCACGCCATGTAAGAGGAATGGCAACAGGAGAGGAGAAGAGAACGCAAGAATAGCCTGCTCTACCACACACAACTCTACCACACACAGTATGCTGTGTTGATGAACAACGTTGTTGTTCATCACAAGTGACATGTGTTTCATCTGTCTTGGAGTGTCTTGCTGATGATTCTATCAGGCCCGTGACTGTTAGCTTCTCATCATGGTCCATAATGAAAGTCCCGCGTCAACCATCTCCATCGTCTCTATCACCCTCTCGCAGAAGTCGGTGGACCAGGAGTCCTTCCTCGGTAGCAGCTGTCGATTCGAGTGCTTCCATGACCTGGTTGCCTTGCAGTGCGGAGGATGCGGCGGCGGGTGAAAGGGGAGGAGGCGACGATATCAAACAGAAGAGATCGCGAGTGTTTGAGGACGCTGCAATTGAGACTTCATTTGAGACAGAAGCTGTTGGCTGCACTGGCGGCGATCAGGTGCGTTGACGAGAGAGACTCGACGGGTCTGTTGAACCTCCTGCTCAGTCTGCTGCTTGCGATCTGCGTCAACGAGGAGTGTGCCTCCTCGGACTACAAGGCGTACACCCTGAATGCGACGTTGATCGCCAAGATACGAGCCGAAGGAACGAGGAAATGCGGCAGGAACGACCTGAAGATGATTCAGAGCATGATCACGGTCGCAATTCTGTTCGTGCTCAGCGACAGGTTCAGGACGAAGATGAAACTGAATGACATCCAAGAGCTTTTAGAGGAAAGGAAGTACAACTTCATTCGCGTGAAGCCTCCCGTCCTCGAAATCTTCACCTCTGCCGCGTTCGCTGGTTTCATCGTGGAGCTGCTGCTCAACTGCCTGCACACCTTCCCCTTCTTCTACTCGGACATCGAGATGATCGTGATGAGGAGGCGCATCTTGTACCGGTTCGAGTCAATCATGTGCGCCGTCATGTTCCTCAGGATTTATCACATCCTCCGATGGCTGTTCGAACGAACTTACCTCAAATACTTCGACCTTGAGGTCTTGAAAGCCTCCCTACCTCCCCATCCCCTTCCTCGCTCCTGCCCTCTCCTTTCCTTCTCCCCTCCCCTCCCCTCCTCTCGCCTCTACTCCGCATCTTCAGCACCTCATAAGACGTCACAGAACTCGCATCTGCTCAAGGACGACTCGACCATCCAACTCGTCATGGAGAACCTTAACTCTCGCCGATCCCTTGCCTTCAAGATCGCCATGGCGGCCAACCCCGCCATCATCCTGCTGTTCTGCGTCACACTACTGCACGGGACCACATCCTACCTCGTGCGGATCGCTGGTGATGAGACTGAACGATCGCTAAACGTTCGCTGACCTGTCTCGCAGAGGTCTTCCATCTTCTCTCCTCCTCCTCCTCCTCCTCCTCTCTCCTCCCTCCTCCTCCTC